AACCTCAGGCTACCAAGTGGGATCAGCCGAAAGTTGACCCAAAGGTAAAAATGCATGTATTCCTGTAAATGAATTGATCTTGAGTTCCTTAAGCAGGTTCGCGGGGCCTTACGAGATTGAGGCACGAATCGGTAAAGTGGCTTACCGACTCCGACTTCCTCGAGAGATGGGGAAGATGCACCCAGTGTTCCACGTGAACTTACTCAAGCCGTACTTTGAGGATCCGCTTCGCAAGGACCAAGTAATACCTTTACCTGAGGTTATCCAAGGGGAAGAGGAATACGAAGTCGAGGCCATCCTCAATGCGCGCAAGAGCAAGCGACAAGGACACGAGGTGAGAGAGTTCCATGTGAAGTGGAAAGGATTTCCACACTGCGAAGCAACATGGGAACCAGAGGAGAACCTAGTGAACGCGCGAGATCTAGTGGAGGAATTTCTGCATGGCAGAACTCTATGTACTTATGCAAAGTTCAATTAAAAGTATCAATTTGAGAAGTTGAGCAATGGCATATATTGGGACCCGAAGGCGCGCCGAAGGTAAGCTAATTAGCATGGGTTAGCTAGGTCGACCAGGCGTAGGGAGCTACGCCCGACTCCCTGCGGGGATGTCGAAACCGTAGACGTATTCTACGGAGGTTGGGTTCAAGTCCCAACCCCCTAGTAAAGCAAGGCTGGGTTCAAGTCCCGACCCTATACTAGGACGTGGTGAGGGGAGGAGTATAGGGACATCTATATTCCGTTGTCATGGGCTCTTGGCCGGGGAGGCTAACTTAGGCACACCGCTAAGTGGGGGGATGCCCCCGGAGACATGGTCAACAAGTCGTAGGATAAAACGAGACGTTCGATGTGGGCATCGAACTTCTTCTATGGGTGGTGGAGTTGTAAGGAACCAACTCGCCGAGGTGTCGTAGGCTAAAGGAACCCCGAAAGCATGACCAAAATGACAAAGAGTTCATCGGATGGGACCAAGTCGAAGATCGAGTCCAAGACCGACTCTAGGACCGAGTTCAGGATGGAGTCCGAAATCGAGTCCGAGACCGGCTCGGGGGCCGAGTTCGAGTCCGAGTTCGAGACCGAGTTCGAGACGGAGTCCGAGATCCGAAATCGGGTCCAAGACCGAGTCCGAGGTCGAGTCCGAGGTCGGGTCCAAGATCGGGTCCGAGATCGAGTCCGGAATCGAGTCCAAACCCGAATCCGAAGTCGGATCCGAAATCGGGTCCGAGATCGAGCCAGAGACTAAGTCCAAATACTAATACGGGTCAAGGGGTGAAAGCCCAAAGCGTGCGTCTCCCAGGGGGGGGGGGGGGCTGCAGGGGGTTCCAAAAGTATAGTAGGGATAGTGAGGTCCAGGAACCAGTTTTGAAGGGACTCTCCAGTTGGGCTTCCAAACTGACTTGAGGTTGGGACTGGGACCGAGGGGCCTTGGGTGGGAGTGAGCATGGACTTGGCTGGTGCCGGAGGGGCCATCCAAGGAAGTGCTCAAGAGCAGCTCCCACTCCCGAAAGGGAAACCAATTGCGGTGCTCCCAGCTCATGTGGAGTGGTGCCCCACTTGAGTACCATGCGGCTCATTGGTCCTCGCCCTTCCTAGGGGCTTGGGCCTTCCTTCGGGATGGAAGTGGGGGGCGAGAGGTACCCATACCGGGCCGCTAGGCCACGGTGTTTCGCCCCGGCGTCCCGAAGCAAGTGTTGCACTCAAGACTTGGGATTTAGAGGGTCCCATGATCAAGTCTTGTGGTACCGAGGGAAGTTAGGAACCTGGAAGCTTGGTGTGCTTGGCTGCTTGTGCTTGCGGGGAGTGTAGCCGAACCTTAAGTCCAGTCTAACCCGGGGAGGGGGATTGGGAGTGATTTGGGAATCCGTAGATGGATGGCTAACACTCCGTTGCTCGTGCAGTAAGTAGCTGAGACCAAGTAGGAGCTAGTACCATAGGCGAGAACCTTGGCAAGGGAACTTAGCAAAGGCCAAGGCGGTGTTGGACGGATAGACGAGGTAAGCTGGCAAATTGGAAAAGAAAAATTTGTGGCTTACACTATGGTCCCACAATAGATACTTTTGTTTGTAGATACTCCACTTCAGAGATATAAATGTCTTTATTATCCTTTCACCCCTACTAAGCTATGGTCCCACAGTAAATACTTTTGTTTGTAGATATTCCACTTCAAAGATGTAAATATCTTTATTATCCTTTCACCCCTACTAAGCTACAGTCCCATCCTTATTGTCCTTTCAGCTTTATTGAGCCATGGTCCTATAGTAGATATTTTTGTCTATAGATACTCTACTTTAGAGATGTAAATGTCTTTATTATCCTTTCACCCCTACTAAGTTATGGTTTCACAGTAGATACTTTTGTTTGTAGATACTCCATTGCAAAAATGTGAATGTCCTTATTGTCCTTTTACCCCTATTGAGCCACAGTCCCACCATAGATACTTTTGTCTGTATATTTTAAATAGCTACTAATCAATGGGAATCAAACCTATATTATTTGCTTTGGTCCCATAGTAAATACTTTTGTTTATAGATACTCCACAAGACGCATGAATGCCTAATACATACAATTTCCAATTTAGGGTAGAAATATACTTCGGTCAAGAGTATATTATATTGACATAATTCAATCTTGTCAATTGAAATAGAAAGAGTGATCAACAAAAAAATTACCTTTTCCAGGTTTTACTATGCTTTGAAAGTAGTGGAGAGATGCATACATGAGGAGGAAGAAAATATTTGAACTTTATATAAATGGGTACATATATATAGAAGCTACTACCACATAGGCATAATTACATATGATATCATCTTTAGCGCAAACACTTTCGCTCATAATCAAGTGGTTGATTCAAGGTTGAATCAAAGTTTAAACCATGCCTAGTTAGTATGAGATAATAAGTATGGGGAACACATTTAAAAAACTCATCAATCAACTACTTTTAGCTTTATTTACACACCCACTCTTGCTCATTATTATGGTTTCAATCTTAGTATATGGTTTACTATTAGGCTCTCACTTCTATTGCTATTAAGCACTTGAATCTTCATAAGAATCTTTCCAAATTGCTGAAGATTCATGTAAAGAACTAGTTCTTGAATCTTGACCCAATTCTTGATGTGGGTTGTTAAAATATCTTAATCACCTATTATGTAGTGTATATGGTTTTCACTCTATACCTTATAGTAATTTACTATAGGGCAAAACTTAACCCTTGGACATATGTGGTAAATGCAACAAAATAAAACTTGAGTTTTATTATAAGTGTACAACTAAAGAGTGAAGGAATAAAAATGCATAAAGTAACATTGAAATAATTTTAGAGCATTCAATATCCCAATGCCAAGACTAATATGCAAAATAAAGCCAAATAAAGTTTAATATTATTTTAGTATAACAGGAGTTATTTTTGCATAACAGAAGGATATGAAGTACTCTACAAACGAACATGGTATGGAGTTTGGGGTTAAACCCAAGTTATACATAAAACTATATAATATCTCAAGTCATAATATCTGTTAGAAGCTATATAATATCTCAAGTTAGTCATCCATACCCAATTTACCCATCTTTATTATATATTTAAATTTTTTTATGCATGCTTTAGGCTTTCACCCAAATCCTAGGATTTATTCTTTAGGATAATCTAAAAAAATTATTAAATATAAAATGATGATAAATTATGAATTTGGGAATAACACTCTTTACATTTCCTAGATATGTTTAAGTAGCAGATTTATATACTTTCCATAATTATTATATAGAACCAAAATGGGATTAACACATGAACAAGAGTATTTTTAATAAACACAGTAAGTTATTATTTAGCGAATATTGAGGGACCAAACTCAATATCACAAACCCAATAGTAATAAGTGCAAACTAATAATTAAAATTTTCTTCTTTAGTGCCCTTTTGGTTTATGTTAATTTGGCAAAGGGTCTAACAATATTGACTTTTTAGCAGTAGAAAGACATAATTTTTAATACCTATAATCAAGTTTGTGATACTTCAAACCTCTAACACATCCAACACCTCATCAAACATCCCAAGAGGGATTGTAATAAAAAACTCATCCTCTTTGTCATTGGCCTCTTGATTAACAAATCCCATGCCCAAGATCAAGGAGCTAATTGTTCTGATAAGATAAAAGTAGTGGAGAGATCAGCATACAAGGAGTGTATGTCTCAACTCTAGGTACATATACATAAAAACTATTGCCATGTCCGCATAACAACACCAATGAGATTTACAAGCTTGCTTACAAACTTGTGCTCCTAGATGATCGCAAGCCAAGAAGTGACTAAGGAGAAGAAAAAACCAAAAAAAAAAAGAAAGAGTATAAGGTCATAAGACTGTCCTCAAACAACAGAATTGGAAGAAAAATGGGGACCTTCAAGAATTGGGGAGCACTGAAATTCTTCTTTCAATCATTATTCAGTGCTATTGTTCCAATAGCTTGTGTCAATCTGTAGATCTGCACAACTGGAAGAAACCCTCTTCTAGAAGTTGTGACATTGTGACCAGGATGCAAGCAAGAGGAAACCTTATGGCACAATGTCATTTTGGCACCTACCAGCCAACACAAATTCCAACTTGATACAGACACCCTCCTTTGCAGCAATCCTTATTCTGCGTGCAAGGATCTCCTGTGTCTTGGCACTTCAAACTTGGATTGCTACCACCTTGAACTAGTTGAATAAAGTCCCCTCCAAAGACACGCGCAGACTCAATGCTAGCAACAAATGTGAACATGAGAACTGCCGCAACCACAAGAAGCTTGAAGACGCCCACGCCCGCAGCCATGATAAGAAGACTAACAGAGAGTGAATGAGAAGGGCGTTATCGAACATAGGCTATGTGTGCGAGCAAGGATAGCGATGAAGCCCGTTGTTAGAACATCGCCCTCAGTTGATTATAAAATTTCAGTACAGGTCAGCTGCAGTATGGAGAGAGAGATATGGGGTAGATAATGAGATCCGTTTGAATAGATGCTATTAGGGTTCGTGAGATGATTCCTTCAGTGATGCAGCGCAGGCGTCTTCGTCGTGCGGCGACGATCGAGGCAGCGGAATGCGTGCTCCCGGCGCTTCTTCCATTCATGCGATCGCAGCTCCTGGAGCGCTATCCCAAGGGCAACACGCGAGGTAGGCACTGGAAGCATCTCAAGCAGATCGTCCAGGCCGAGAATTTCCATCTCCTTCCCGCAACTGTGAGTTCCTGATTCCATACCAGTACCTCGTACATTGTTTAGCCTCGTACATTTGCAGATGTTAACATCGAATCGCCTCCTTCCATTTATCCTTCCAAGAAATACTGCGACGTCTCTGGATTTGAGGTAAGGTGCTGTCTCGCCATTTCTCCACCGTGTAATCTCCTCTCGTTATTTTCTCCTTGTAAACGCACCTTACACGGATCCTCGAACAAAGCTCAGGTATGCAAATGCCGATGTCTTGAAGCGCATCAGGTGTCTTCCCGACGATTACGTTCAAGGCTACTTGGGTCTCTGTAGTTCTCAAGTAAACTCTCCTCCTCGACTTATAGCACAGTTATAGAATGCTACTCGCGGGGAATTCAGCAACTCGAGTAACAGCAGAGTAAGGGCCGGGAAACTGGAAGGCTGGCGTTGGCATAAAGATCCCAGGACAGGATGTCTCGGCTTTCGAGGTGTCTTTTCGGACGTAAGTTTCATAGTGACGCTGATCTATAACAACAGTTACACGTTGTTTTTTTCTTTTCCAGCGCCATTGAATGATGCCGCTCAAGAGGTTGCCGAGGAGCAGTATTATCTTTTGTCGAGGTTGGAGCAAGGAATTCCAGAAGGACCGGCTGTGGAGGTTTTCTCTACTGTGTTGAGTTTTTCTTAATCTAGTGATTGACAGGGAGGCGATTCCTCTCGAATACAATCCGGAAGATCTGAACGCGATCGACTTCGACAATGGAGCGATCATTTTCTTGACAGGTGGCAAAGGTACGCTGAGCCGTGGACATTTTCTTACTTGTGCTCATTGCAGAAATCAGTGAGGCAGTGAGTCCTGGTGCTGAAATCGTCGGCGCAGAATCGTCCAAGAAGATGGATACTGTGACCATTGTACAGGGATGTGCTCTTGTCAGACTGAAAGCGGTGTCCAAACCACTAAGCATAGGTGGCGGCATGCAACGAAGGTCCTACCACACAAGTGGTTTTCGTCCGCGGTGATTTTCTAGTGAGCACGGCGGGGGTGAATAGCGGCTAAAAAATGGACGGGAAGCCTTTCGTTCTGGTCGTGGCCATCGTTTTGCTATGGTCTTCATCTCCAGCAGAATCGAAGGATTGCTCCAGAATTCAAAGGAAGACTTACAAATCTCCAGCTTTTTCTCTGGAGCCGGGAGAGGTCCAAGACCGATACTACAAGATCGAGTTTCCCAAAGGTCATATTGGCGTCAAGAACTTTCAGGGAGAGATTGTAGATGAGCTTGGGAATCCCGTGCCTCTGACCGAACTCTATCTGCATCACTGGGTGGTATTTGGCCTCTACCTGAAGAGCTCCGAGAGAAAAGAGCTGGTCAGAGGCGGTTTCCATGATCGTCTAGGCTCGCCATCCGCTATAATCACTGGAAACGATGGAATTTGTCAGCACAACGTCCATTCACAGTTCTGGGGTCTTGGTGCCGAGACAAGGCACACGAGCTACTTTGTTCCAGGATCCTATGCTATCGGCATTGGCAACCCTCCGGAAGGCTACGAGGAGCTCTTTGTGCTCAATCTCCATGCCATCGACGGCAGAGGAACATATGATCCCCAACTATGCCATGAGTGCCGCTGCAGCTTGTACAACGTAACAACAGAAATCTCGGGACAACCTTTGAAGGAAGGCTACAAAGGCGGTCTGCGTTGCTGCTACGAAGGGACCAAATGCGCAGTGAAGCCGGGATTTCAAGCACCAAAGAGGGTTTTCTACATGCAATATACCGTTGAATGGGTGGAGTGGGACGAGTGTGTCCTACCTGTTCGTGTTTATTTGTTCGACATCACAGACAGCAGGAAGCGGGATCCAGTCGACCCTCAAGTTGGCTGCCAAGTTCGTTTTTCCTCATTCTAAAAGTTTCTCTTATGTTTCTTACGATTGTCTTGCAGACCGAGTATGACGTTCCTGCTTGTGACCCGTCCTCAAATCCCGATTGTATTTATCAGCTGGAGAATCACCTGGTGATTCCAAAAGGGGGTAGCATTATCTACGGAGTAGCACATCAGCACGCTGCAGGCATGGGCATGAGCATGCACGGAGAGGTAAGAAGTAAAAAAAAACTCTCATGACTGTCGATTTGTGTGGCTTTTCCAGGACGGTCGGCACTTGTGCTCCTCGATTCCTCTATACGGGAATGGATCAGCTCCTGGCAACGAAGATGGCTACGTTGTTGGAATGTCTACATGCATTCCCGAGCCAGGGACTCTAATGGTCGCGAGCGGTGAGAAGCTCCACTTCTCCTCATCTTATAGTTCTGCCCAGGAGCACACGGGTGTCATGGCGATCTTCTATCTCATGGTGAGCGACAATGACACTGTGTCTCTAGGAGAAATCAAGGTACGTTTCTTACTTGTTTGTTAGATTGAGCAATTGCTTTTTTCTCCTCCAGGATGTGAAAACTAGAGTTAATGTGATGGCGGTCACGCTTGGGATCGTTGCAATGGTGGCATTGGTGGTCAGATTTAGCATTTGGAACAAGAAACGAGAGTCCCATAAAGGATACAATGCATTGCTTTAGGATTATTTGGGGATGGCCTGCTATGAAATATAATAAATATATATAAAGTTGGGAAAAAAAAATGCATATATAGAGGTAAGACATTAATTATTGTAATATAGCATATACTTGAGATTAAATTCCATTCTTGTTTATAATAAAGGAATCGCAAGTAAGATATTTATTTTGATATTCCAAATGCTCATATTAGTGGAAGTGAAGAGCATTGCATTGTATCCAAGAGTGCAAACTTTTGGTTGAAGGGTAGTGCTTTACTCAGTGTTTAGGATTGTTCATAATTATGTTTTTGTTTTTGTTCCTTTGTTCTTTTTTAGATTTAGATTTGTGTTAACTTTTTGCCAGATCTAAGATTATAGTTATCAAATTTATTATTACCTTTTCAGTTTTCATACATTCTCTTTTTCTGCTATGCCATGCTATCATTACTTAAAGCTATTGGTGTTGCTTTATTGGATTGAGCTTTTGGTGTTGTGGGATATAATCATATTACCATCTTTAACTAATATGGAGTGTAATTGTGATATCAATTAGAGAGTTATAATTTATACAATCTAGTTTTTTGTAAAAAGATTGAGTTTATAGGAAGTTGTGAAGTGGATTCCTTTTAATAAGGAATTTGATTACTTTAAAGATAATTTTAAAGATGAGTTAGAGAATTCATAGGGTCTTTTAATTTGCCATTTGATCCTTTATTTTGCCTTATTTTCTTAGCTTAAGCCACCTTCTCATTTGCAATTTTTTTTTGTTTTTTACATATCAATATGATTTTCATTCTCAGTTTGATGTTGAGTTAAGTGTTTTTATTTTCCACATACTAATTTATATGTTAACTATGTGTTTGAAGTTGAAAATCTTACTTTTGTGTTATTAGTAGAATAGGTTCAAGGTAGTCTCACCTTAGGTTTGACATGTCCAAATCATCACATCACTTTGCAATTGTCATAATTAGCTCACAAACATTGTCCATTTATGAGTTTCCTACTACTAAAATACATAAATAAATTTATAAACTATGTCCTTGTTTGCTAATCTACTAAGAAAAGAAACCTCTTTATCGTCACTAACTTGAGGCTGAAAATGTTATTCAAAACAAGTGATATAGTTGCATTCTTTACCTTTAATTCAATCTTGTCAACTAAAATAAAAAGAATGATTGACAAGGAAATTACCTTTTCCAGGTTTTACTATGCTTTGAAAGTAGTGATACACGAGGAGGAAGAAATGTATTTCAATTGTATATAAATGGCTATATATATATATAGAAACTACTACCACATGGGCATAACTATATACCATATCATCTTTAGTTGAAACACTTTTGCTCATGATCAAGTGGTTGATTCAAAGCTGAATCTAAATTTAAATCGTGTCTAGTACACACACTCTTGCTCACTATTATGGTTTCAATCTTGCCACTAGTATATGGTTTTGATAGTGAACTGTTAGGCTCCCATTTCTATTGCTACTAAGCACTTGAATCTTCATAAGCATCTTTCCAAATTGCTAGAAATTCCTGTAAAGAACTAGTTTTTAAATCTACCCAATTCTTGATGTAGATTGTTAAAATCTCATTATATAATATATATGGTTTTCACTTTATACCCTATAGTAGTTTACTGTAGAGCAAAATTTAACCCTTGGATATATGTGTGAAATGCAACAAAGTAAAACTTGAGTTTTAAAGCCTTGAGCCATTTAATGAAGGGATAGAGCTAAATTCCCAATCATATAGCCAATGAATGAAAGAATATGAGCATTGAATAACTCCCAAGCTAAATAATAAAGGAGCAAAAATACATAAAATAGAATTAAAATAATTCTAGAGTATTTAATATCGAAATGCCAAGACTAATATGCAAAATAGAGCTAAATGAAGTCTAGTGATATTTTAGCATAACCCGAGGGATATATGTACTCCACGAATTATTAGTTTTGGGTTTGGGATTAGATCCAAGCTAGACATAAAACAATGACAAACACATCTAATGTCTTAAATTGGTCATCCATACCCAATCTACCCAATCATACTATACATTTTAAAACTTTTTATAAACCCCTGTCCAAATGAAAGCATGCTTTAGACTTTCTCCCAAGTGTAAATTATATATTTCCCTTGCCAATTTATCAACTTACTTCATCTATCCAACCACCTTTATTTTGACTTTTACTAGATTCCTTTACCAAGGTTCCCACATATTGTGCTAACTCTGACTTTGTCCTACTTAAATTCAACTACTTATTACACAAATAATTGAGTGTTAACCAACTTTTCAGAATTTCTCAAACTTTTTACTATACCCCTTTCTAAATAAGACTATATTTAAGGTTCAGTTACACTCCCTTTAGGCACAAACATCCAAACACATTAAATCTCCAAGTTTCTAACATTTTATGATATAAGACTCTTTAAATCTTCAGCCTTAAATGTATCACCTAGCCCGAGACACTAAAGGGAAACACCATGGATTAATGGCCTAATATGGATATCTTAACTCCCCACCTTCATCCTGAAGGGAAGGCCTAAACCCCTAACATAGGGTGAAGATCAATAAGCTATATGATATTCAAATGGGGCACCATTCCACTTGAGTTAAGAGCATTACAATTAATTTCCTTTCTGGAAATAAGAATTGCTCTTGAGCACTTTTTTGAGGAGCTTCTTTAGCACTCTTTAAGTCTGTGCTCACTCCCACCTAAGACTACTCACTTTTAATTCTAACCTCAATTTAATTTGGAAGCATCATTAAAAAGTTCTTTCAAAACTAAAGTCTTAACATTGCTATCTTTACTATACTTTTGGAACCCCCTACAACCCATTATCTTTACTATAATTTTGGAACCCCCTACAATCCCCCCCTCAAAGTGCTTTTGCAAATTCCTCAAACACATGATCTAAAGTGGGCAACTAATCTAGAGAGACAATAAAACTTCTCCACTACACTCAAGTTTCATTGATCTATAACAATAGTTATACATTTTTCTGGTTTCGAGCTTGGTGATCAAGAGGAATAAGGAATTCCAGAAGGACCAATAGAAATTTATAGAGGTTTCCTCTCTCTCTTGCTTGCTGTGTTCAGTTTTTCTTAATCTAGAGGCAATTCCTCTAATACAAGGTCTCAATTTATACAATGATATAGAGTGTGTACAACTTAAGGGTTATTTATCCAGTTGCAGGTGCTATCCCACAGTGTATATTGTTAACATGAGGGTTCAAGTGCTTAAATCTAACCTGCTATACTAAAATTGGCCCCACCCTAATTTTAATCAATGATTGAATTGGTTTTTTCAAAACATTATATGCCCTAAATACCACCAAAGCCCTTTAAAACTGGTACTGAATGATATTTTTTGGTTATAATTGGCTATTTAAAAGCATCATTAGGAGAAGATATTTTAGCATAAGTTAGAGAAGGGCTCAAAGCCACATTTAGTGTTAATTTGCTATTTTTTATCACGTGTGATTACATTGTTTATGCTTGTGATGATTTCCATATTTTTGTGGAGGAGAGACTTTGAATACTTTAATGAAATTGCATAAATTAATAATGTACATCTTTAAACTCTTTATAATATATGTTTATCAAATTGCCTTAAAACCAAATCAGTGATACGCAGTTTTCATTTTTATCTCAACTTTCATAATTAGTCACTAGCCGTCCATGTATGGAAAATGCCGGGCGAACGTGCTCGATGCCATTATCCGATTGATCTTCTGGGACCCGAGATCTTGGATTTGTCCCCGCAAACCGCATGTGGGCCAAGAGCTCGTAGCTAGCACACGTCACCGTGTGCCCTATTGCTCATTGGAAGCACATTGGCTGAATCGTCCAAGCACTGCACGGGGATGCGCTCTTGTAAGACTGAAAGCGGTGTCCAAACCGTACAGGTGAAGGTCCTACGGCCCATCTGGTGAGTTGAGCACGGCGGGGGTGAATAGCAGCAAAAAAATGGACGGGAAGTTTTTGGTTCTGGTCGTGGCCATCGTTTTGCTATGGCCTTCATCTCCAGCAGAATCTAAGGACTGCTCCAGATCTTCCAGAATTCAGAAGAAGACTTACAAATCTCCAGCTTTTTCTATGGGGCCGGGAGAGGTCCAAAACCGAAACTACACGATCGAGTTTCCCAAAGGTCATATCGGCGTCAAGAACTTCCAGGGAGAGATTGTAGACGAGCTTGGGAATCCCGTGCCTCTCAGCGAAGTCTATTTGCATCACTGGGTGGTATTTGGCTTCTACCTGAAGAGCTCCGAGAGAAAAGAGCTGGTCAGAGGCGGCTTCCATGATCGTCTAGGGTCGTCAGCGGCTATAATCCCTGGAAACGATGGAATTTGTCAGCAAAACGTCCATCCACAGTTCTGGGGTCTTGGTGCCGAGACGAGACACACGAGCTACTTTGTTCCAGGCTCCTATGCTATCGGCGTTGGCAACCCTCCAGAAGGCTACAAGGAGCTTTGGCTGCTCAACGTCCATGCCATCGACACCAGAGGAACATATGATCCCCAAGGATGTCTCGAGTGCCGCTGCAGCTTGTACAACGTAACAATAGATGCCTCTGGACAGCCTTTGAAGCAAGGTTACAAAGGCGGTTTGCATTGCTGCTATGAAGGGACCAAATGTGCAATGAAACTGGGATTTCAAGCACCAAAGAAGACTCTTTACATGCAATACACCATCGAATGGGTGGAGTGGGACGAATGTGTCCGGCCTGTTCGTGCTTATATATTCGACATCACAGACAGCAGGAAGCGGGATCCAGTCGACCCTCAAGTTGGCTGCCAAGTTCGTTTTTCCTCATTCTAAAAGTTTCTCTTATGTTTCTTACGATTGTCTTGCAGGCCGAGTATGACGTTCCCGCTTGTGACCCGTCCTCAAATTCCGATTGTATTTATCAGCTGGAGAATCACCTGGTGATTCCAAAAGGGGGTAGCATTATCTATGGAGTAGGACATCAGCACGCTGCAGGCATGGGCATAAGCATGCATGGAGAGGTAAGAAGAAGTAAAAAAAACTCTCATGACTGTCAATTTGTGCGGCTTTTCCAGGATGGTCGGCACTTGTGCTCCTCGACTCCTCTATACGGGAATGGATCATCTCCTGGCAACGAAGATGGCTACGTTGTTGGAATGTCTACATGCATTCCTAAGCCAGGGACTCTGATGGTCGCGAGCGGTGAGAAGCTCCACTTCTCCTCATCTTATAGTTCTGCCCAGGAGCACACGGGTGTCATGGGAATCTTCTATCTCATGGTGAGCGACAATGACACTGTGTCTCTAGGAGAAATCAAGGTACGTTTTTTACTTGTTTGTTAGATTGAGTGATTGCTTTTCTCCGCTGCAGGACGTGAAAAATAGAGTTAATGTGATGGTGGTCACGCTTGGAATCGTTGTGGTGCTTGCACTAGCGGTCGGATTTACCATCTGGAACAAGAAACCAGAGTCCCATGAAAGATACAGTGCATTGCTCGTTTGAGCTGGCCCGCTATGAAATATCTAATGAATATACTTTTTATATAAAAAGTGGGAGGCATATTTTTGCAGGACATTGTGCTTCTGACAGCCTGCTTTACTTACCACAAAGATCATCCAAAGCACCAAAGTGCACAAATAAATTTATAAACCTACACTAACCTGAGACTCGATATTCATCAAAACAAGTGACACAGTTGTTATTTTTTGCCTCCAATCCAATCTCGTCAACTGGAATGGAAAGCGCAATCAAAGAAGAAAGTACCTTCTCCAGGTTCTGCCACTCACTTTTTTCCTATAAGATTTACAAGCTCGCCTACAAACTTGTGCTCCTAGAAGATCACAGGCCAAAAAGCAACTAAGCAGAAGAAAAACTAACAAAAATAGTACTGTCCTCAGTGTAGATTTGCACAACTGGAAGAAATCCTTTTCTAGAAATTGCGACATTGTGACCAGGATGCAAGCGAGAGGAAACCTTATGGCACAATGTCATGTTGGCACCTACCAGCCAACACAAATTCCAATTTGATACAGACACCCTCCTTTGCATCAATCCCCATTTCGCGCGTAAGGAGCTCCTGTGTTTTCGCACTTCAAAACTTGGATTGCTACCACCTTGAAGTAGTTGAATAAAGTGGTTGTATAACAACACCCCCCGTGCGCAAACTCAATGCTAGCCAGAAATGTGAACATGAGAATTGCCGCAACCACAAGAAGTTTGGAGACGCTAGCACCCGCAGCCATGGATAAGAAAGTAGCAGGGAACAACACACCAGATGGAGAACATGTTAGAAGTTAGATGTATAAATCCAGGAGTTCCCCCTTCTCATTCTCATCATCCGCAAAATTGTCATCTGTCGTTGCGATACATGGAAGGAGGTGATTCGATGTTAACATCTGCAAATGTACAATCAGAAACTCACAGTTAGGCTCATCAGCGAGAATCCTTCCAAGAAATTCTCTGGATTTGAGGTAAGGTGCTGTTTCGCCATTTCTCCACCGAGTAATCCCCTCTTTCGGTATTTTCTCCTTGTAAAGGCACCTTACACGGATCCTCGAACAAAGCTCAGGTATCCAAATGCCGATGTCTTGAAGCGCATCAGGTGTCTTCCCGACGATTACGTTCAAGGCTCTGTAGTTCTCAAGTAAACTCTATAGCACATTTATAGAATGCTACTCGCGGGGAATTCAGCAACTCGAGTAACAGCAGAGTCAAGGGCCGGGAAACTGGAAGGCTAGAACGAGCAGAAGTCCGGATATGAAGAGCTATAGAATGCCACGCGCAAGAAACTCAAGGATAGAACAGTAGCGTGTAGGAAATGGAGAAGAGAAAGTTAGCAACGAGGAAGAAAGCCACTATCGAGCCAGCCCATGCATGAAGCCCGAGTGTCACGCACTTGGCGGAGTTCTTGAAGAAAAGAACCTAGGGTATAAGCAGAAAGAAAATTTCCAACGATGGCGGCTGCTACAGTCTGGCGCTTGCTGGGAGGTGGAGGATACAGGGGCCGTGGCTGTGCTAAAAATGTGAGAAGCTTTTCCTTCCACTCGTCGCCGTCGTTTCCTTCTCGAGCGTCCGAGTTATCTTCCGGGGGTCCGACGCTGCTAGCCGAGAAAGGTCCTTTTGCGTGCAAGCTGAGCAGCCGAGCGGTCATTGGATTTGAAGGAGAGGATGTTATCAAGTTCCTCCAGGGCTTGACGACGAACAACATGAACAAGCTCGAGCAGGATTCTCCGACGAGGCTACCGCATCCCACTCTCAACCAGCCAGCGGTGGTGCAGCCTCCTCTCTACACGGCCATCTTGAATCCACAGGGAAGGTTTCTGTTTGACATGGTGGTTTTTAAGCCGGTGCAATCCACGGAGAAGTTGGACAGATCGGGAACGGGCCCCGGAAGCGAGAAGTCGGCTCCAAAGCTGGTAGCAGACGTTGATGCGGAGAGTGTCAGCGATTTGTTTGCACACCTGACGAGGTTTGTACTTTGTACTTTGTTCTTTTTTCTCCTTGTCTTTTTGACGAACTTTCACTTGTTTCAGGCACAAACTGCGTGCAAAAATTTCTTTCTCGGACATGTCAAAAGAGCTTGCAGTCTGGCAGAGGTTTGGAGGTGCTCTGGAGTGCGAAGGTGACAACGAGGGCTCTGTAGGGTGGGGTGCTGGGCGTGATGTTGCTGGGAATACTTCTGCCTCTAGCAATGTCCAAGGCTGGCGTTGGCATAAAGATCCCCGGACAGGATGTCTCGGCTTCCGAGGTATCTTTCCGGTGGAATCCACTCGTAAGTTTCATAGTGACGCTGATCTATAACAACAGTTACACGTTTTTTTTCCTTTGGCAGCTCCATTGATTGATGCCGATCAAGAGGTTGACGAGCAGTATTATCTGTTGTGGAGGTTGGAACAAGGAATTCCAGAGGGACCGGCAGAAATTCGTGGAGGTTTTCTCTCTTTTTCGCTTGCTGTGTTCAGTTTTTCTTAAATCTAGTGATTGACAGGGGAGGCCATTCCTCTCGAGTACAATCTTGAAGGTCTGAACGCGATCGACTTCGACAAAGGTTGCTATGTGGGCCAGGAGCTTGTTGCTCGCACACACCACCGAGGAGTGATAAGAAAGCGCGTAATGCCGGTGATTTTTCTTGACAAGGATGGCGAAGGTGAGATGAGCCGTGTGGTCTAGAGTTTCTTATTTGTGATTTACGTGTCATTGCAGAAATCAGTGAGGCAGTGAGTCATGGTGCTGAAATCGTCGACGCAGAATCGTCCAAGAAGATGGGCACTGTAACAACGGCACTTGGCTCCCGGGGATTCGCTCTTGTGAGGCTGGAAGCGGTTTCCAAACGGCTAAGCATAGGTGGCGGGATGGCAAGCATACAGGTGAAGGTCTTACGACCCAAGTGGTGGCTGCATCAATGGGACTGATCGGGATAAGTTTCTGGGAAACAAACAAAAAGGCTACGAACAGAAGTGAACAGAAGTCTCGCGGAGGAAGCTTCCAAGCTTTGTCCTGATTTCCTATTTAGCAGATGGAGCGGGGTGGGGGTGAATAGCAACTAAAGATGGACGGGAAGCTTTTGGTTCTCGTCGTGCTCATCGCTTTGCTACTATCTTCATCTCCAGCAGAATCGAAGGACTGCTCCAGATCTTCCAGAATTCAGAAGAAGACTTACAAGTCTCCAGCCTTTGCTCTGGGGCCGGGAGAGGTCCAAGACCGACACTACGAGCTCGAGTTTCCCAAAGGTCACATCGGTGTCAAGAACTTCCAGGGAGAGGTTGTAGACGAGCTTGGGAATCCCGTGCCTCTGAGCGACGTCTATCTGCATCACTGGGTAGTATTTAGCCTCTATGTGAAGAGCTCCGAGAGAAAAGAGCTGGTAAGAGGCGGCTTCCATCATGGACAGGATCGTCTAGGCTCGCCATCGGCTATAATCGCTGGAAACGATGGAATTTGTCAGCACAACGTCCTGTCGCAGTTCTGGGGTCTTGGATCCGAGACGAGGCACACGAGCTACTTTGTTCCAGGCTCCTATGCTATCGGCGTTGGCAATCCTCCAGAAGGCTACGAGGAGCTCTGGGTGCTCAACGTCCATGCCATCGACACCAGAGGAACATACGATCCCCAAGGATGCCTCGAGTGCCGGTGCAGCTTGTACAACGTCACAACAGACGCCTCTGGACAGCCTTTGAAGCAGGGCTACAAAGGCGGTCTGCACTGCTGCTACGAGGGGACTAAATGCGCAGTGAAGCCGGGATTTCAAGCACCAAAGAAGACTCTTTACATGCAATACACCATCGAATGGGTGGAGTGGGACGAGTGTGTCCTGCCTGTTCGTGCTTATATATTCGACATCACAGACAGCAGGAAGCGGGATCCAATCGACCGTCACGTTGGCTGCAAGGTTCGTTTGTCCTGATTGTAAACTTTTTTCTTTTGTTTTCTTACGATCGTTCTGCAGGTTGAGTATGACGTTCCTGCTTGCGACCCGTCCTCGAATCCCGATTGTATTTATCAGCTGGAGAATCACCTGGTGATTCCGAAAGGGGGTAGCATTATCTACGGAGTAGCGCATCAGCACGGTGGAGCTATGGGCATGACCATGCATGGAGAGGTAAGAAAAAAAGTAGAAAAAACTCTCGTGAAACTTGCTAACGATTTTTGTGGCTTTTCCAGGATGGTCGGCACTTGTGCTCCTCGATTCCTCTATACGGGAATGGATCAACTCCTGGAAACGAAGCTGGCTACGTTGTTGGGATGTCTACGTGCTTCCCCGAGCCAGGGACTGTGACGGTCGCGAGCGGTGAGAAGCTCCACTTGTCCTCGTCTTATAGCTCCGCCCAGGAGCACACGGGTGTGATGGCGCTCTTCTATCTCATCGTGAGCGACGATGACACCGTGTCTCTGAGGCAATTCAAGGTACGTGTGGTAAACTTCTACTTGTTTCAAGTTCTTAGATTGAGCGATTGTTTTTCTCCGCTCTAGGACGTCAAAAACAGAGTTAATGTGATGGCGGTCACGCTTGCGATCGTTGGGGGGGTGGCGCTGGTGGTCGGATTTAGCATCTGGAAGAAGAAACGAGAGCCCCATGGAGGATACAGTGCATTGCTCTAGGATTATAATGATCGTATCTCTCTCCTGCTTGGATTCATTTGAGAGAAAAATATTGATGGTCTATGAAAAAATCTTTTCATGCCACACTTGTGCTCTTCTTTCTAGCACGGGATGATAAGATCCAGAAAATCACGCATTCTTGGGGAGTCAAAGTTAGAAAAACTTGGCGGTAGAACATTTCAATCTGAGCCCATCTGCCCTTCTCCCTTCGTTTCCCCTAGGAAGGAGAAACAAACTGAGCCAAAAAAAAACAGAGCAGCCCAGCCACTGAAGGTGGACTGAATACCATCTAGATCGAAACAATCTTTTGTTTTTTTTTTATAGATATGTAAACCTAGAGGATGTTTGAAGCTATGGAAATATGTATCATAGTGATTTTCTTATCTCTCTCCTGCCTGGATGCATTTGAGAAAAAAAATATTCTATGATCAACTTTGTGCGCACTTTTTGATCTTCGCGAGGAAATTGTTTACGTACTCCACTCTGGCAAAACCAAGAAGAGATAACTTTCACAAGAATATGTAATTTGCAGACCTTGCACGATTGTCTTCTTGGGGCCGATTAAACGCTGTCCAGATTGGATGTCCACTAAAGAGGCGCATCACCTGCATAGATTTCTAAGCTTCATGTTTGATCAAAGAGAATCTCAGGTACAGACCGTGATGAAATTGTTGGAATCCGGTGTGAATCGATGATACATCCCAGCCGGGAGAATGATCATGTCGCCCTTCTTGGTCCACACACGAATCCACCGATCGCTGCCATCTCTCACGTCAAAGTATCCTGAGATGGATCGAAAGAATCGTTAACAAAAACTGGATTATTTCCTCGAAAGAAGATACTACAGACCACTTCCTTCGAGACAGTATCTAATCTCCTCGTCCGTGTGGATGTGCTCCTCGTAGAAACTTTTGATCCGCTCCTCGTAGTTGGGAAGCTTTCCAGGCGCGATTGTGATGATATCCTGAGCACGAGCACAATTCGGATAAGAGCCAAACAAGGTTCTGGATGGATACATACATAGTAATCGTAGCCTCGCTCGTCTCGAATAGCCTTGAGCTCCGGGTCTGTCTCGTACAAATCCGCATTTAAGTGCCACTGCAGCACACCAAGATCTGGGCAAAACCAAACCAAATCCATCAAACAATTCCAGAAATTCACACTCACCATCGAGAATTTTTTTGGATACACGCTGCTGCTCTTGCGATTCATCGAGATACCACGCTTCAATTCCAGGCTAACCAAAAGACTACGATCAGGAGCTCAGCTCTAAAACCATCGCCATACCTCGTCGGCTCCCATTCTCTCCTCGTAAGAACAAACCCTCAGCACGATGTACACGTGGGCAGCCTATAGCCTACCACGTGTGCAGTCCTCATTGAATATACCTAGCATATGCTAAGGTATGCTAGATATTCTTTTGCATTCTAGGGTTTTTGCTGTAGTGTAGGTCTCGCGGTCAACCCCTGAGCGTGACAGAGCGATTTAGAAATGCTACCAAACTGTGGTTTCACTTTTTGGCATTAGATAGTCATCAGCTCGTTGCAATGTGCCTTTAGCGACATGGTGTCTGAAATAGTCTGCAAGGTTCTGGGCTGGTTCTACAATCGAAGGGACTCTTTCCAGCAAGCGGTATACTCTTTCTGGCTCTTCCTCCTTGGTTTATGATGTGACTCAAATAAGCAAGCTAATGGTAACATAGTTAATAGTATTTGTTATGATTGTTGGCTATCAACAGGTTCCTGACTGTTTTCTCTTTACAACGGATTACCATATGGAGTTCAGGGAGGATAGTGAAGACCGTGAACAGGTTGTACCGCACGGGCTGAAGCAGAAGTTATATTTGAACAACTCTGCCACAGACAACCTGGGAGGTACAGAACAAGGTATGTTTTTACACACGTATGTTTTTACATATCTCATGAGAGAATACGGTCGACCATGCACGCGAAACCGTTTGACAACGTGTACTATTTCACTCCAGGCAGGCGACCTCATCACGAGAAACATCCAAGCTTTTTGGATCTTACTTCAGTGATTCCGGACTGTAAAATTTATTTAGAGGTTCGTAATATTTTTTTGCTGTTTATTTGTCTAATACTCCCTCTTTTAGTATGGGCGAAAATATTTCAAGGCAACTAAAATAAAAAGAGTCGATTCGTTATGCGACTTTATTTCAAATGAAATAATCGACTATGTGACACTGGAGGAGTTAGTTTATGGACTTTCAAGTGTCAACGAGGAAAGTACTGATGGGTGACTACCACTTGGAGAAGCTTGTCACTGTGGTAACAGCCAAGTTGTTGAACTCTTATTGCGAGAAGGGCAAACAAAAACCTTGGAGGTGTATGACATTGTTGCACATCGTTTTTATTTTTATAGATGTTTTACACAATTTGCTTTTACAGATCGTAAGGGTATGATTCCATACATAGAGAATGCCTGCAGCGGGAAACTGCGTCCAGAGATAATGCCACAACTTATGCCAAATGATGCCAAGAACTTAACGTGGAGTATTACGATGAACCCACAGGCCATAACTCATTTCGCTCGGCAGGAGAACTAAAGTGGAAAAGGTTTGCAACGACAATTACAACGCTGAAACTGCAGTCTGTCACGGTCACTTACTACAAGGCGTGACTATGATTTTCCAAGCGAATCGTCTACAAAAGAGTCCAAAAAGGGAAATTTTTCTCTTTTCAGGCGACACAAGTAGCAGGTATTTTATCAAATGTCCAGTAGTCCAATTCCAAGTTTATGAATTTCGAGTATTTTCGAGTTTCTTAGAGTTTTGTGTAAGCACTAGACGATCTTTCAAGAATGCGTTGCATCTTATGTCCATTACGAGCTGAGATGAGCAAACATGCAACGGCGCTGCCACTTTGGGGGAGCTCGTGGGAGACAGCCACGCCATTTAGGTCTCGGGAATTGATTTCAGCATCAAAAATTTTGTTGGATACACGCTGCTGTAGTTCCAAGCTAACCAAAAGATACGATCAGTAGCTCAGCTCTTAAACCATCGCCATGCCTTGTCGGCTCCGGGCAGCATGTGAATGTTATTCTTTTGCATTCTATTTTGCTATGGAGAACACTTGGCTACAAGGTATGGGATTCATTCGCGTCGGAGCTCCAACTCTTTCTTTCCATGCTCTACTGGCCCAATAACATCCCAGTCTTCAGCTGCATGTAGTTGCTGGAGCCACAAGCCGCGAAGAGGCATCTGCAAGATTGTATGCATCTCTTGTGAATTCGGTACAACACCTCTCTGATGAGCATCGAAAGATATTCCAAGTTGGTTTTCTAGTTCATCTTAGCCATTGCCAAGGTGCAGTCGTTATGTATGAAGATGTGGATGGCACTGATAATCAACGAAGGCAGGCAAATGCCGGAAAAGGGTATCTTTTCGTAGAGTCCGATCGGGTGCTCCAGGTGGGGATTGATGGTGTCAGCAATGTTGTGCGCAAAGTGTTCGATCGGGCAGCTGGTTATATCTATCATGGAAGAACTATGTGTCACCAGCCTCGAGCGATCATTCTTTTGCAAGCTGACCCATGACGACGTTCCTCTGATTTCTGATGCGTTCTTTACACGTGGTGGACACCCAACATTTCTCGACGCTCTCTTCTTCTTGATGCACCTCTTGTTCGAGCGTCCTCCCAGCATGAAGAAGAACCATGGGATCCGAGTACAAGGAATAAAAAACATTTTGTAGAGCTGCGGATGCAGATGATAAAGCTCTGCCATTGAATTTCAAGTTCGAAGACATCGAGGACTTTGTCCTGCCCCAACTTCCGGAGCTGGACTTTTTGCGTGACATAAGGCACCTCAGCCATAGCGGAGGGAAGGTCTCAGTGTTTCGGGGGGATTTGGGATCAGGGAGGAAGGCTATTGTCGAAGTTTGCAACTCTTCCGACCAGCTACAAAACGCTGTGCGTGAAGTGTGGATGATGGTAAAGCTCAAAGACCTTCAAGGTGATGGGATTCCACGCCTCCATGCTGCTCGTTTCATGGATGCAGGACTAGGCTGGGTTACCGTAATGCAAGACAAAGACCGTGAAAACTTGAGGCCTTATCTCTCGGTAGCAAAGACTCTCTTGAGTGCGATGCACAAGGCAAATGTGATTCGTGGCCGAGTGGAGGAGCCAACATTATTGTTTCCACAGAAGGTGGCAAAGTCATGTGGATAGACCTTGGAGCGGCATGCTTGTTTGCGATGAGTTCTTGCAGTTTGCTAAGCGGGATCAAAGGCACATGGAAAAGCTTTTCAGATTTTGAAAGATTTCTACTAAGCAGCGTGGTTCTTTTAATGCGGATGATCTTTTGCATTTCGTTCGTATCTCACTGTTTGTGGATCAAACTAACGTTCTAATAGATCTAAAAGCGTGACGAGCGTATTGAGCTCTCTTTCGTGTTCCTCTGTCCACGAGCGGAAAGACTGGTGGAGATCGATTCAAAGAACTTGCGCTTTGCCTCCCTGCAACTGGTAACACATGTTTGCAAGCCGGATTCGCCGTGGCTCATGTCGAGGGAGTGGATGGATTTGAGAGATTGCATAGCACTCTGCTTGATCTCGGGGCCTAGCCCCCTTCCATTCTGGCTCGCAAGAACCTCCAGGTTATCCCCCTGCATCCAAAAAGGCCATGAAAAAGAGCTCCCCTGACAAGAAACCATACTCGAGGAGCTTTGGAACGCACACTCCTTCAACCGCAACGAGCCTGTGATACGCATCAACACGAAATCCAGCATCAGGTGTGGCCTCTGCGTCACGTCCAAGACCTTGAGAACAACAGCCTTCTCGTCCAGTCTCGCCCTGTACACGCTCGACGATCCAAAACCCCAAGCAAGAGTGGAACTCGACGTAAGACCCAATATGTCAAATCCGCGGCCACGCACGCCCTCTTGACAATGGAGTCAAAAACAAGCTTGGTGGCAGCTAGATCATGACTGGGTGACGAAACAATGCTCTTCGGATCGTCGAGTACCACTAGATGCGAGACAGGTCGACACTCGCTAGCCTTGATGGGCTCCGAGACCAAGAGACGATCGCCATCAAGCTTGCAGAACCAAGAACTCTCAAAGTTGGTCAGGATTCCATACACACTGCCAAAGCCATAGAACATCTGCTGCAAGGCAAGCTTCAATACCAATCCACCCAAGTCACTCAGCTCCAGACGTGTCTTGGCCAGGATGATAGCTTTGCAGCGGCCATTGACATGGAGGACGTGATCCGGCAGCAAGTCCCACTCCTGTCGTCACAAGTTCTCGGCCCATCTCGCTGATTGCCGTCCCTCAGTGAGCAAGCAGCGAATTCCAGACGTGATGCTGCAGGGTCTGACAGTTTCGGGTGATGCCCACAAGATATTTTCTCGAGTGGCTGGTTATTTATACTACAAACGTGGACATGGAAGCACCCCATCGGGGTATGCTTGTGTTACAAGCATGAAGCGCGTATTGTTTTGCAGGATGAGCCGCGAGGAGGACGTTTTCCAGGTGTCTGATCACGTCGTCTTTGATATGAATTCACCACCACAAGACGCAGGATCTCCCACTTTTTTCGAAGCTCTCTTCTTGATGCACCTCATGTTTCAGGAGTCAAGTCTGCCTCTCCCACAGCAGAATTTGGACCAGCCTTTTCCACGCAGAAAACGAATCAAGTACAGCTCAGCTGGACCCAACACTGTCAATGCTCGCTCCAGGATCCACAAGGAACAGGCTGTGGATCTGCGCACGTAGCTGACAGAACTTTGCAGATCTATGAACTTTAGCTTCAGAGATATCGAGGACATTGTAACGCTACAGCTCTCGGATTTGAAGCTCTCGAGCTGGTGTCGGATTCAGTCTGGTGAACAAGTCTCGGTCTTTCGGGGGAGATTCAAAGGCGAAAAGGCTGTCTATAAATCAGTGGATGTGTGCAAGGCTCCCGACAAGCTGTGAAAGATGGTATGTGAAGTGTGGGTGATGGCAAGATTGAAAAGCCTGCAGGATGCGTTTGGTTTCCTCGATGGCAGGATCTGGCTTACCATCATGCAAGACATTGGAGGAACGAGCATCGACAAAAATTATGAGGAGCTCTACAAGGATAGTTATCCCACCGCAGCAAAGTCTGCCTTGAGCGTAATACACAGGGCAAATGCGACTCACGGTCGAGTTGAGTCCTCCAACATCATCGTTGGAGAAGGTGGCAAAGTTATGTGGATCGACCTTGAAGCAGCGTGTTTCTTTGGCAGCGATGGTGATGCGGATGGTCTGTTGCATTTCGTTTGTGCAGATCTAAAAGAAATCCCAGTTTGTAGATCAAACTAATTGTATGTAAGATCTAGAAATTGATCTAAACGTGTAGCATATTGAGCTCTCTTTAACCAAGGGG